CAGAACAAAAAAACGCATACTTGCGGAGGGGTCGTCGACGATTTAATGTTTAATCGATCACACGAGTGGGTGCCGTATTCCGTGGGTCACAAGACCTTCGCTAAACGCCACCGGCGACGATTCACCCAGACATCACGCTGGGCTGCAGAGTTGTGGTTGCACGGGGGGATCACGCAGCTCATTTTCGATAGGAGCCATGCGCAGCCCCTGATACGAGTCAGGGGTAGAGCTCTGCATCTGGGACGGCAGGGACTCTTCATATGTTGCATTGTTGGAGTATTATGGCTTTAAATATCCAGACTCTGGTGGCAAGTTTTCACAGAGATCAGACCCTCAGGGTATACCGGCGTCCTCGGAAAGCATGAGACATCATAGTCGAGCATTAGGCCGCGACCACAGGTTCAATTGTGCTCAAAGTGTCGATTGTGAAACAGGGAGCGCCAGGGAGCATCCAGTTCCCCGGACCGCAATTCCAAAGCTGTCTCGATCGCCGTCTGTATAGGAAAGTGTACTTTATGGGCAAGCTCTTTTGAAAGCGCGTATCGCACAGCAGCTCACGATTGAGGGGAGCACTTGGCCACTCTGGGCGCTAAGGTGCTGACTGCCGCCGAAGCGGTCATGGCACCGCTGATGGCCGAGCTTGCCGGAGCTCAGCGCATATGCGTTGAGAACGGGCAGCTAGCACAGGCCACCGAGGGAAGAGTGAAGCGAGGAGGGGAAGGCATAAGGAAACGACACGATGTGCAGGATAAGGAGGAGGATGAGGAGGAGGAAGAGCAGGAGGAAAAGAAGAAGGGAGTACAGACGAATAGTCGAGGTGCGAAGTGGAATAGCTGACGTGGAAAGAGACAGGAGAAGAGTCGTTGGAACCACGAGGGAGTGAGCCTACCACATGTTGTTTGGATCTTGACGTGACGAAGAGGCGAAACCATGAGGATGTGGATAAAGGACGTTGCAGAATTACTCCCCGATCCCAGTAAGTGCGAGATCTGGGTCCGACATCTCTGTTTGAAACGTCCCTCTCGCGTTGTCCGTTAAGCTTGCGCGCGTGCAGAGTTGTCTCAGACTCTGGAATGTTGCCTCAGTTGTGACGCTGGAAGAGCTACGAAGTCACATGTGTTATTCACAGACCTTCACCTGGGAGCGGCAGTGTAGGCCAGCGACTAAGTCATTGTATCCAACTGTTGTGGTGCATAGGCATCTAGGGTATGTTAGTGTTTGAAGGGGACCGACTCCTTACCTGGCGAAGCGATAGCTTAGTTATCCTGTCACTGAGGTGTCAATGTGTCATGTAGCTTACTGCCATCGCAGTGGGTGGAGCTAATTACGTCGTGCTCCGTACATACTTTCTGTTTTTGGCTGTCGGCTGGATGAAACCCGCCAGTTTAAACCAGTTGGGTGGTGGCAGGAAGACCGTTAAGTATGGCTTGTACGTCTGTTTCGATGAATGTTCGTACACGGCGTGACATGCGCATTGTCCTTGTAGGAGCACACACACACACGCACGCATACGACTGCGAGGCGTAGCCTTCGATGCGGCAGTACGAGGCAGCGCGTACGTATTTCGTAGCTCACGGCAGAACAGACTTATCCACCATGATATATATATATATATATATATATGTATGTAGGTAGGTAGGTAGGTAGGTAGGTATGTAGGTAGGTAGGTGGGTATGTATGTATGTATGTATGTATGTATGTATGTATGTATGTATGTATGTATGTATGTATGTATGTATGTATGTATGTATATCATATGCTTTGTGGTATGGCCTTCATGCGTACAGGTGCACACGCATCAGGGTTCATATGTTCACGAACGTGTAAGTATGATTAGTGCGACAGGTGTCGCAAACAGTGTTTTACCTTTCGAAATCCACACCATGATATCACACTGTGTACGACATGATAGGAATGTGACGGCGAAGCATATGTGACGAAGCTCCCAAGCCACGTGTACCCGCTGCATCAAGTGCAGCATGGTCTATGGCCATCGAGTCTGTTGGGCACCAACATCGCCACGGAGTTGCACCCTATGAGTATGTTGGGGCTGGGCCATGCCAGCCTCACCCTTTGCCCCTTCGGGTGCAATGCCGAGGTGGTACGGGCAAGTGCTGGGGCCAGCGATGGGCGGCATCTTCTAACCCTCGCCAAACCACCTTTCCGCTGAGCTTCGGAGGTGCCCCATCCCACTCCCGCCTGGACCACGTCAGGAGGGCTGAGATGGGCGGCGCGCCCTATCGCCTCCGTTGCCCCTTCTCGCCATCGTGCCAGTAGCGCCAACATTAACATCCCAGGGACCTGGCGCAGACGAGGGCGGCAGGGGACGCTGCGCTGGGAGAGAAGGAGGAGGTGGAGGAGGCTGAGGAGGAGGAGGAGGAGGCTGAGGAGGAGGAGTAGGAGGAGGAGGAGCCTGAGGAGGAGAAAGAGGAGGAGGAGGAGGCTGAGCAGCAGGAGGAGGCTGAGGAGGAGGAGGAGGAGGAGGAGGAGGAGGAGTATGCTGAGGAGTAGGAGGAGGAGGAGGAGGAGGAGGAGGAGGCTGAGAAGTGGGAGGAGGAGGAGGAGGAGGAGGAGGCTGGAGGAGGAGGAGGAGGAGGAGGAGGAGGAGGAGGAGGAGGAGGAGGAGGAGGAGGACGAGGACGTTGAGGAGGAGGAGGAGGAGGAGGAGGAGGAGGAGGGGCTGAGGAGGAGGAGGAGGAGGAGAGGAGGAGGAGGAGGAGGTGAAGGATGAGGAGGAGGAGGAGGCTGAGGAGGCGGCTGAGGAGGAGGAGGAGGAGGAGGAGGAGGAGGAGGAGGATGCTGAGGAGTAGGAGGAGGAGGAGGAGGAGGAGGAGCGCTTGGCGGCTTCACCCCGAGGCTGCGCGGCTCCTCCCAGAGGCCCAAGGAGGCCCTGAGGCTTCTCCCGTAGGCTTTGGGAGGACTCTCGCGGCTTCCACCCCAGGCCCTCTCGAGCCGTGAAAAGATCACGACGGGAGTTTTTTCTCGCCGTCTTCGGCGGGAAAAATCACGACGGTGGGGGTCTGGGACAGGATCCGTGGTCTCCGCCGGACACTCTGGAGCTTTCTTCGGAAGCGCCCCGGGCCTCTCCCAGAGGCTCGGAGGCCCTTGCCACCCGCAGGCCTCTCCCAGAGGCTTTGCGACGCCCACGTTTTGCTTCAGTTGACAAGGGCAGGGTGTTTCGGGAGAGGTGCTCGGGGAACATCCCAGGGCGGGATATCTGGGTAAATGAGTATCGGGCCCTTTTGTGCATAGTGCGCTAATGAAGCGAGAGGTTGTGTCATGATGGGTGCACAGGGCAAATTGAAGCCTCGAGCACGAGGGTAACAATATGTTCATTGATGCCGTGAGTATCGGGCAACCACCTCATCCTTCCTCTATGTTCTGCATGTCCTCCCCACTCCTAATTCGTCCAGGTGGGATAGTAATGATGCTGATCATGCTGATGAGTATGATGCTGATGATGTTGATGATGATACTCATGGCGTTGATGGTGACTGGAATAGTGATGACGATGACGGTGACGATGACGACGATGATGAGGATGGGGATGAGGATGATGATTATGCCGAGGATGAGGATGAGGAGGATGAGGATGGTGATTAGGACGATGGATAATGGTGATGATGATGATGATGATGATGATGCCGCTGATGTTGATGACGATGATACTGATGATGATGCGACTGCTGATGTTGATGCTGCTGCTGCTGATGATGATGCTGATGACGATGGTGACGATGCTGACGACGATGATGATGATGATGATGATGATGATGATGATGATGATGATGATGATGATGATGATACTGATGATGATAATGATGATGATGTTGTTGATGTTGATGTTAATGATGATGATGCTGCTGCTGCTGATGATGATGATGACTCTGCTGCTGATGATGATGGTGACGATGATGCTTCTGATGATGGTGATGATGATGATGATAACGACGACGACGATGATGTCGATGATGATGCTGATGATGATGCTGATGCGGATGTTGACGATGATGCTGATGCTGATGCGGATATTGATGTTGATGTGGCTGTTGTTGATGATGACGATGTTTGATGATGATGACGAGTATGCGGATGATGATGATGATGGTGGTGGTGATGATGGTGGTGATGATGATGATGGTGGTGATGATGATGATGGTGACGATGGTGACGATGGTAACGATGGTTATGACGATGATTCGCATGATGATTGTGATACTGGTGATGATGATGGTGATGGTGATGCTGCTGATGCAGATGTTGATGCTGATGGTGATGGTGATGGTGATGGTGATGGTGATGATGGTGGTGGTAGTGGTGATGATGATGATGGTGATGATGATGAGGGTGATGATTATGAGGAGGAGGAGGAGGAGGAGGAGGAGGAGGAGGAGGAGGAGGAGGAGGAGGAGGATAATAATATGAATAATCAGAAGAAGACGGAGACGGAGACGGAGATAGAGTAGGATGAGGAATATGAGCATGACCAGGAGGAAGGAGCTCAGGATATTGAGAAAGGGGCGATGGGGGAGGATGAGTGCATGAGGAGCACCAGGAGCAGCAGTAGGTGGAGGAGATGGGAGGAAGAGGAGGAGGAAGGGAGGGGAGGACTCATGAAAGTGGAAGAAAGAGCCGCGTGAAGCTCACGTCTTTCCAGAGATCTCCCAGCGCTGGTCCAAGACAGACTTCTGCTGGATGGAGCGACGGGTGGCGCTCGGCGTGGGGGTGGGGGGGGAGGAGGCAAGCGGCTCGGAGGAGGGGAGGCCGAAGAGGGGGCGCCCCCCCCTCCCCTCCCCAGCCCCCTCCAGCCTGCAAGCCCTGGGGCCAGGCTTCGGCTTCCGACGTGGTCCTCGCGAGCTCCGACGGTGGCGGGGACGCCATGCCACTGGACACGTCGCCAGAGGCAGAGGCCTCCGTCCGCTCGGCGGGGCCGCGGGAGACGGGTTGACAGTGCCGAGCGGAGCAGAGGAGGTGGAAGACGGCGAGGGGGAGGGGAGGACAGCAGGAGTACGGTCGGGAACTCTGGCTCAGCGCGGCGCTCCGCCGGTTCTAGCCCAGCGCGCTGCGGCGCGATGCGCTGCCCACGTTCCGGACCCCGAGCGTCCACGTGCCGAGCTTTTCCCCGCGCTCCCCGCCCCGCGGAGCGGATCCTACGCGCTGGCCGCCCGCAGGGCGTACGTGCTGCTGGGGCCGCCGCCGCGACGCGCTGAGCAAAAGTTCCCGACCGCAGAGCGGAGGGGAGGACAGCAGGAGCAGGTCGGGGAATGGGGCGCCCGGTCGTGGAGCACGAAGCCATGGGCGAGGTGCTGTCTGCCCTCCTTTCGTTGCTGATGTGTTCGCTGCGGCTTGTCCTTTGCGCGATCGGCCGGGCTTCTAAGGACAGGTCCTCTCAGTTGCGTAGCCGCGAGCGTGGCAGCGGGAGGAGGAGGAGGAGGAGGAGGAGGAGGGGCAGGAGGAAGAGGAGGAGGAGGAGAGGGGGAGGAGGAGGAGGAGAGAGGAGGAGGAGGAGAGGAGGAGGAGGAGGACGAGGAGGAGGAAGAGAGGAGGAGGAGGAGGACGAGGAGGAGGAGAAAGAGAAAAAGAAAGAGAAAGAGAAAGAGAAAGAGAACAGTGAGGAGGCGGAGGAGGAGGAGACCCCTTTCGGGCAGCCTGGCCGGGCCCCTCCGCAGGAGGAGGAGAGAGAGGAATCAGGGGAGATTGCGGGGGTCCTCCTTCTTCTCCTCCTCCTCCTCCTTCTCCTCCTCTGCCTCCCCCTCTGCCTCCTCCTCCTCTGCCTCCTCCTCCTCCTCCTCCTCCTCGGCCTCCTCCTTCTCCTCCTCCTCCTCCTCCTCCTCCTCCTCCTCCTCCTCCTCCTCCTCCCCCTCCTCCTACTCCTTCTCCTCCTCCATTCCTTCTCCTTGTACATGGCTCCTCTCTGTCGCACCCCGAGGCCAGTCGGAAGGGCGGGCTGGGCGTTTCGCATGAGGCTTCTTCATCGTTTATGGTCTTGAAGCTCAACAGTTGACAACGGCTTCGCAGGTGGAGGGCGGGCCGCTTCCAAAATGTGGCTTTCGCGCACACTCTCCTTCAACATTCGCAGGAGTTTCACGGACTGAGGGTGGGCCGTTTCCAAATGTGGTTCGCGTCCCAGCGCCGCGCAGATTCTTTCGAACAGATTACAAGTGCTTCGCGATTGAGGGCGTTTTTTTGTTGGCTGTCGCCCTGGCGACGGCACATTCGCTTTAAAGAAATTGCAGGAGGTTCACGGAGTCAATTCTTACTATCGCTCCCCTCGCCCAATTTAATGTTTTTCCTGAGCATGCCGTTCGCATGGTTGGCACCCTCGGACCTAAACATTTTACGCGGCTGCTGGCGCACAGCCAAAGAGCAGCGCCCGCGCGCGTGCGTCTGCCCCCCTGGCCGGCCGCACACCCGCACATACACACACACACACACACACACACACACACACACACACACACACACGTATACGTATACGTGTACGCTATCTGTTGGACGGACATATATATATATATACATGTATGCCAGACATGGCGGGAAGGACTACCTCCCCGAGTTCCCCGAGGTTGGATATGATACCGTCCTCCATACTCTCAAAGAGCATGCAGGAGACCACCCAAAGCACTTGCCGATCAGCAAGAATATCCCGTACACGGACGCAGCTAGGCACACTGCTGGTTATCAGCCGAAATACTCGCCGCGAGCTCTCGGCACTATGGCACGAGTCTCGGGGGTGGTGGGGCCAAATAAAAGGGAAACGGATACGTACCCGAGGAAATACAATATCATGGAGAGCGAAAAGCACGGGCCCTCATTCCGACAATCGTCATGGCTTCAAAAGGAGTCGATAGCATATTCTTCGAGACTGCTCCCGCTGGCCACGTCGGCGGTCCCGCCTCGGGTCCTCCGCAGAAGCTCAGCGCGCTGGATTCGGCACAAACCGGACAGGGTCACCCCATTGGGCGGAGCTGGCGCCCGCAAGGATACCCTGCGAGCGGCCGACACTGCCCCAGAGATCCGATGCTCCGAAACATATGGAGCGGCGGGATTTGGGCAGTTTTCGGCCTCCAGGGGCCCTTGCCAGGCCTCGAAAGCGTCAAGAAACGACTCGGGACGACAAGCCGGCCCCAGGGGAGTGGCCCGGACCCCCGGGGCCCACGCATCGAACAAGAATGGAGCAGCCAGATATGTCTGGGACTGCGCAGGCCGACGCGGCGCCCGTCCGAGGGCATGCTGCCTTCTTCGGCCAGCCAGGCTCACGCAAGATCAACTCCGGCCCCTCCGAGGGCGCGATCTCCGTGCCGTCGGAAGCCGAGGCGTCAGCTGCATCGACGCCTCGCTTTTGGCTCAAGACGACGCCGTGGCCCAGCAGCACCCACGCGACGGTTCCGGGGCCTATTAGATTCTGGGCCGTCGTTCGGGGCCTGCCGGCGCGGATGCAGAACATGATTGGCCAGCGGCTTTCGATGAGCACGATTTCGAAGCCTCTCGGCCAGAGCTGTGTGACCCACCGGTCAAGACAACGGTGGCCATGCCAGAATACGGGGGCGAGCCCGCACCCGCCCTCGAGGGCGGCGTCGCCCACGCCGCTTGCCGCTGTCGAGCCGAGCGTGGCTGCCGCCAAGCAGCCGTGGGAGGCGATCGACTTGTCGGTCACCTTCCCGCTCGGGAAGCGCTTCAAGACAGACGGCATTTCCGAAGAGGCCTCGCTGCCCGATCCTGGGGGTTTATCCCAGGAGCTGTGTTCTCGAGTCGCCGCGCCCGTCGGCGCCACCCCATTGAGAGCGTCGCCAGTTGGGAATTTGATTTGGCGTTCCATGAGGAAGCCAGTTTTGCGCACTCTCTCGCGGGAGCGATTCGTGGCGCCGGCACGCAGTAGGGCGGTCCGGACCCCATCGGGCGCCTCGACGCCGTCCGCACGGTCGGCGCGCTCCAATGTGTCGAGCTTCCGCGTTCAGGAGCCATGTGCAAACTTGGGCCCGATTTGCACCCTGCTGCCTGAGGGCTGCTGCCCAGGGAGCCGAGGTAATTGCATGACAATGAAGCCAGTGCGCCGGGGGAGCTCGCTCAGCTGTCCCCAGGGCAGCCACTGATTCCTCTGCCCGGAGTGCGTGCCTCCTCAGGCTCATGACTGCATGGCCCACAGATGACAGGAATCGGAGCAGGCAGAGGATAAGAAACGGAGGCCGCGATCGCAAACAGGGATCTGGAGTTGGCACAAGTGAAGGAACAGCTAGTTCGTATGCAGGTTGAGCAACGGGCGGCCGTTCGTCTCCAGGCTGAGGCGGATCGTGCTGCGATGTTGCGAGCCCTCGAGGACAGAGGCAACAGGCCGCTGGTTCCGAGCAGGCTCAACGTGCAACAGCTGAACTTGGAGAGCTGGCCAACAAAGTGGAGGTCCCGGCCGCCACTGGGACGCGTGCCCAGGACCTTGAAAAGAGCATCGGCGAGGAGGCCAGGCGCAATGTCTGGGGGTCCGGCGAGGCCCAGGAGGCCGCTACGGCAAGGATCTCTGAGTAGCTCAAGTCAGTGGAGGCTGACAACGCACGAGTGACCACGGAGGCCCGCGAAGCGATCCAAACAGCCCAGGCAGACGGCGGCTGCCGAGGCCGCCGTGCAGAAGGCCGCGGCAGAGAGCATGGTGGCGACGAGACATGTTGAGGGTTAGATTGCCGACGCACGCCACCAGGCACAGGTGTTCGCCGACGCGGCTAGCGCGAACAAAGCTCGAGCAGCTGCCGAGGTTCGAGCGAGTTGAGCAGCAGGCGAAACAGGAGACGCTTGCCGCCGCTCGGAGCACTGAGCTGACGGCCGAACAGTCCAAGATGGCTTGGGACGCTCAGCGAGAGGAGCTCCACTGGGAACGCGCTGTACATCACGTGCGACAACAGCTGCAGCAGCATATTCCCAGGCGAGCCCTGGAACGACAAAGGCCATGGCCGCGCTGGCGGCTCCATGGCGGACGACGGGGCCGAACGCGACGCACTCTGCATCCTACCGCGGACTGCGGTGCCACGCGCGTCGCCAATCCGCCGAATGCGACTGTGTCCGCTGCAGCAAGCCTTGCTGCACCAGGCATTTTGATACTGTGAGATGGAAGTGTGTTTTGTGCTGTGAGGAAGTCGCCCAAAACGAACGAGAAGCTGAGATAGGACGTGGGCAAAGAGAAGCGGAGGAGAGAGGGACTCGGCAAAGGCTCGAGGAACGCATCGCGTCGCAAACTGTGCCTGGGGCAGGGCCGTTCAGTTGCCCACCAGCGCCGGAGGTGTCTCGCAACTATGTTGCGAGCGCCTCGGAACAGCGTGGTGCACTGGCTGCAACAACGACGAAAGCAACAACAACAACAACAACAACAACAACAACAACAACAACAACAAGAACAACAACAATCATTTTAAGGCTGTTCGCCCTTATCTGCTCGAGTGTCCAATAACGCGTATTTCCCAAACCCTCGATACCCGCCCTCTTCGTCTTCGATCGAACCCCCTTTTGGGGGGTAGACCTTTCTTCCCTGCAGGCCGGGCCCCGGCAAGCGGCAGGGCGGCCGCGGACCGTCGGCCTGGCCAGCGGCAGCGCTGATCGGCGGGGCGGCCGCGGACCGTCGACCCGATCCCAAGAGGGACGGACAGGGGACCGACCACGACGACGACGACGACGACGTCGTAGACGACGGCGACGACGACGACGGCGACGACGACGACGAGCGAAAGCGAGAGCGAGAGAGAGAACCACAGCAGGGCCACGAAGGACACGAAGTAGGCCACGAAGGGCGACAGCGGGGACACGAAGGGAATGCGTATGGGGCCACTAAGAGCCCGAACGAGCGGGGGCCACGAAGGGCAGATAATGCGGGGCCACAGAAGGCAACGGTGGGGCCACTGAGGGTAGCAGCTGGGCCACGTAGGACAGT